CACAGAGTAATTTTGTGCAGTGAAATGTTCTATGCTGGTCCTAAATTATATATTACATTCACTGTCATGAATTCCATCGTCTTATTTGACAAAATCAATAAATCATGAAAGTCCTTGAAAAAAAAAACGTCGCCCAATTTAATCTTAAGATTAACACTTTTTTTTAGTAATATCTAAAAATTAACATCACAGTCCCCTAATTTATTTAATTTTCTGAATACACGAAATGATTTTAACCATTCTGCTTAAATTCAGAAAAATGTGATTACTTTCAAATGATTTTATTGCTTTCTAAATTTTAACTCCACAAAAATTACTGTTTGGTTATAAAAGTTTAATTAAATTGGAAAAAGACATACTTAAAATTTACAAATACGTTGTACGAAAGGATGAAATCTAAAATATCACTCCCCCCAGTATTTAAAGACACGAAACATGTTGTCATTGAAAAAGTACGCTGAATGATCTTTTTTTCCAAATTAATTAAATATGCATGTAGCATGAAATTTGAAAGAAAGAGACCCATATTTATTGATTATTTATAAAGTTTTACTTTTCTTAAACGCGTATATACATGCCGAAAATAAATACTTTATTCCCATATCCCTCTTTTTTTCTCCAGTAAAATATGCTATCACATAAAGGAATGAATTCAAATCAGAGAGAAAAAAAATTACCAGCAATAGAATTCTGTATAACATTTTGTGAGTTTTCGAGGTCAGACACTGATTTAAGCATTGTTTCATTTGTTGTCATTATATCATTGTTCAAGTTCTCCACAGACGTGTTCAACCTCAAAGATAATTGTTCATATTTCTCTTGCATCATTTCGGGAAATTTCTTGTCAATTTCCAAAGTGTGTTTATTTAAGTCCAGAAGGGTCACTGACAGGTATCGAACTTCCACTTTAAGATCCGCAAGGACAGCACTAGTGTTTGTCTCAAAACGTTCTCTTTTCTCTTCCAGATGTTCCACAATCTGTTGAATGTATTCGTTGACTTTGGTAAAATTTTCTGTAACAACTCTGAAAGTTTCCTCGTAGCGCCTGTTTTCAAGCTCAAGTCTTTGGTTTTCTCTTTTCAGTTTATCAACCTCCTGTTTTAAAGCGGTCGCCTCTACGTCTGTTTTCTGCTGGGATGTTTCCAATGTCTCCATACTTTTCTTCAGATCCAGCATGTCCTTCATTAAAGCGTGAACGTTCTTCACTAGTGACATTCTGATGATTGTTTCTTGGTTCAGTAACTGTCGGAAGACGTCCGTATTTTTGGAGTCCGCGTCACTGATGTCAAGTAAAGATGAACTGTTACCACTGCTGTCCGTGAATATGGACAATCCATTTATTTGAATGAGAAAAGCAAATAATAACGTAAACAGAAGTGCTTGCTTCATCTTGAAAATCAGAGAAGTGATAGCGTTCCAAGAGAATATTGAGCCTTATATACATTTGCTTATAAACTTTGACCTTTTCTATTGCATGGCACATGCGCAAATCGTTAAATTCCTTAAAACATGAGTTGACAAATATTAAAACTGTTTTCGACTCTTATTGACGTAAGTTAACTTCCTCTTTAATATTTTTGCTCTTTTTTATAATAACCTTTTAATGTTTATTTGAATTTATTTATAGATGTTTAAAATATAGAGTATAGGGGGAGTCGCCGCGTCACAACTGAACGTCAAGTTTTAAAGTGTACTTTTTTTTTTAGAATGAAAAATACAAACACAATCAAAAGATTTTTAAAAAGCACCTAACCTCTCATTTTTTTAAAAGACACAATTCAAGTCAATTTCTAGTTTTTAATTGAAAATTAAACGACGGTATTGGTATTTGTGATCATAAACATTGTTGTTTTACTTTGTTGAAGTGAACAAAGGGATTGTCGAAATGGGAAAAAACGGCTTGACGAAGTGTAATGCATTTTTGCTTCAAAATATGGGAATCATCACTAGCGACAGTTGTGTTAATAAATAAGACTCACAGAATAAAGAATATAAATGAGAGACTTCGTAAAAGATGATTTCAGCAATTTTAGTCGGATGGTGGGTCATTGAATGATCAGCAGAGGATAAAAAGACCGAAAGATAGGAGATCGGACGGAAACATTCAGTGGTGTCTGACGTTGTCCAAAAACACAGAGGGATATAGTGACATGTGAATATTTAAGTTTGTACTCTGCTACTGTTCAAAATATTTTGACAGAGGGCTTAATTATGAAAAGATTGAGTGTATAATGGTAACAAGAATTCTTAAAGGAAGTGAAAGTGGTGAAAGTCTTTGCGAATCACAAATATTTTGTAATGAAATAAAGGGAAAACGCTTAAAAGAATGACGGTGCGTATCCGTCATATGACGTTATATTTAGGTGCGGCGACTACCATAAACGCACATTGTTTAAAATCTGATATTTTGGAAGGTATACATCATATTCCTTTGAATTTTTCATGTCAGATTTGAAATTAATAACGCTTCCATCATGTATACTTTTGTTGTTTTACGTCGATTTATAGCAATTTTATCGAAGTTGTGACATTACTTTTGGATCAACCCTCGTACATGTATTACGACATTTTCTTAACTATTAAAAACGTTTATATTTATATTGATTCTTTATAAAGAAATATATTTTATTTTGGAGGTAGGGTGGGGATGGGTGTCTTTTCATTTTATAGAAAAAAGGAAGCTTATCCCTAAATATATGACTGCTTTCATGATTCATTGCTTATGCCTCAATACCTTTAGAATTTGCAAAACGTCTACTTCCAGGTCAAAGTGTTTAAGGAATAAAATAATGCCTTAAAATGTGCTCACAATACATTTTTACAAAGACCTTGATATTTTTGTTAAATGTTATTTTGGTCTCTTTTCAAGCCTTCTATATAAATCTTCGTGTATTCTTTATGCAGTAAAAGCAGTGAATTACGCATGGTCGACAACGTTCAGTTAAGGATTCATTAACATTCTATTAATTTTTCCTTTGTTCATGATCTGATCTTTACAAATATTCCATTTATAATTTCCTAAATAATTTCAACCCTCTTCACTCCTTTAGCACCATCCTTTCTGCTTTGAGTTTAAAAAAAGAATAAAAAATTCAGTTATAAAGTGGACATTCAGACAGTGTAGGGAAGAACCCAGCCAATTCATTGCGTAAATAATGGCCTTACAATTAGTATGTTAAAAGTGAGTCATTGTTTGATTTAATGATAGATTCTATTTATTGACAAGGTTAATGCATCGACCACAGAACTTGCAACATGAAGGCTTCAAACTAGACTGTTGATATCCTTGTTTCATCGACTTCTTTGTCAATGAATTTATTCTAAAATTACTCATATGCAGAGCATTTTCTTGCGTATCGATCAACTGAGAGACACTAACCCCATATGCATTTAATAATGATATATTGCTACATATAGGTAGGGGAAGTTGACGATTGAAAAGTTAGGCGTTATTGTTAGTTTATACATTGTCGTCTTTGCATAATAAAATATCCAAAAAATAACGGATGTGTCAGTCTGTCTCTGTGCATCTTTCTTTTATTCCTCTCATATAGATTTTTTTGCAAAGAACTCTATGCGGTATATTGCATATCTTTGCGCCACAAAAAGTCAAATTTTGAATTTTTTTGGAAATGTGCTGAATTCTGTAAATTGTATGAGAAATATAAATTAACAAAACATATTATAGTTTCAAAGTAGTTTATTGAAATTGTTTTTGTTTTTATGACGTCACAAACTAGTCCGATTTTTTTTTTAAATTTTTTAGAAAGAGGACTAAATTGACAACATTTCAACAATTTTAGCTTTAAAAATTATAGAGCGCAAGTTTGCTCAGGAATAATATTTACATATTTTTTTGATATTATCATTCTACACATTATATCAAAATATGGATCAGTCCTGCGCTCTGTGGCTTTTACTCAAAATACAGATGTACTATATACATTTTTTTGTAGAAATCATGGAAATTTTAAATTAACGTCATATTCATGACGTCATTTTAAACGTATGACGTCATTGCTTATGAAAATATTCAGCGCTTTGAAGTCAGCATGTATCCCCCTATTTAAGAGCCTAATGAAATATTTCTCCGTCAAAGTTTGATTTGGGGGGCAAGTATTGGTTATCACCGAATAAAGTTCTTTTGCTTCATATCAATACAAAAAATAGGTTTAGATCTGCTAATAATTGAGCGAAATTGATACTCATGGTAATTTCGATAGATTGCTAGAAGACCTGATCTTCAAAATCTACATAGACACTGACAATCAGAAACTCTGGCACTTTTTTAACATCATCCTGAGTACTCTTTTTACAATCAGAGTGATTTTACAAATAATTTTGCAAATAACCAATAACAATGTAACCGGATGTGTTTTATCTAAGAGTTCCATTTTAATTGAAAAGCATATGTAATCGAAAATCATCTATCAGACAGATCTGTATGTATTCAGGAATATGTTTGTATATTGCATTCAGTCTTAAAACATTTAACTTTAAAAATATTTTTCTCTCATTTCTCCTAATTAATAAGAAAAATGGTATTATCTCATGAATTAGAATAGTTTGCTGCTGACTTGGTGAGAACTGGGTATTTTATTTAAATGATAGTTCATTGACATAAAGTTGTTGCAAGTAAAAAAAGGGTTCTAAAAATATAAGTATTATAAGATATGAATTTCAACTTTGAATGTTGATGAGGAACATGAACCAAAAAGCTTTTCGTGAAATTTGCAGGCGTGGAGTTCATGTTCTCTGGTTTTTCAATACTGAAATTTCTTAATTGACGAGCGTGTCCTTAGCTTAACATTATTTATGCACACGTTCTGCACATTATGTTTCGTCGCCAACCAAATTAACTAGCCAAGACTAGATGACATTCAAAAATCTATATCCATTGTATTTTTTACTAAAAACTTGTTCTTAAAAGTTCCACGAAGTCTGACAAATGCTCTTCTTCCACTGAGGACAGATTGAAATATGTTCAAACTTTCTGCACTGGATACAAAGAGGCAAACCATAGCCTGATTAATTACACTAGAAAACCGGAAAACGTTGTAATGGGTATTCCTTCGCTGTAATAATTTGACCCACTTTGACACATTGCCCACACTCTGTCTCCTTGTTGGAGATTCAGCGTCAACAGGTTGGATCCAGAATCGTAGAAATCTTTACGTCTTCCCCCGTCAGACATGGTCATCACCTTCGCTCCTCCGTTATGTAAGATAGATACATACAATGTGTCACTGCTATACCCTTGGGCACTGATATAGAAAACATACTGTCCGGCCGTGGGGATGGTAAAGGTTCCTGTACCTGGGTCGTATCCACCTTCAACGTTATTGATGACCACAGGAAATGCTAGTGTACTTCCGCTTGAGATAACTCCATGACCTGTAGTACTAGCTGAAAAGGCAACCTTCTTGGACAAGTCTAAAAGAATGTAATAATGTTGAGGTAGTTCTCGTATATCGAAATCAGTGTGATAGAAAATAATTACTGTATCTGACTTCAAAGAAGAAACTATCATTATTCTTTTGTTTATAAGAAATACGAGATAATTGTTTCAATGCGAATTTCATGTTGAAGAGTTGTTCAATAAGATATGATTCTTACAATAGGAATTTATAGGAATTAATGCATACATTAAACACAATTTTTCTATCATTTCACATTTTATGATTGTACTGCATTTATCTTAAAAACATTTACTGATGGATATTCATTTTCAGTAATGACAAGCTGAAATAACATTTATGCTGATTACTATATATACTTGCTTATAAGTACGTCCGCCTATAAGTCGGTTGTATTTTTTAGGTTAATTTGGAGGGATTTGCCATTGACCTGCTTATAAGTCGGTACAATTTTTTGCCAGAATAAGTTGGCAACTTTAAATCAATGCACTGATGTTTTAACCTGGTTTCAATTAATACTTTGTACGTATGACTCGCCTATAAGTGGGACATATACTTTTGGAACAAAATTTAACTCCCCAAAAACAACTTATAGGCGAAGTACGAGGGGTTATCAATAAGTTCATGGACTGAGGCTATAAAATTAATACTATGTAGTCTGTGCTTTCAAAATGTATAAGGAACATAAAACAATAAAAAAATGAAGAAATGTTGAAAATTGTCCGACAACGTCATTGTTTTCCAATGCCCGCTTCTTCTACGTCATACACTTATTTTCATGAGATTCCCTGGATCTAAATAAGGACTTAAATCCATCTTTTTATATGATTTTACAATGTCATGAACAGCGGCTTTCAATGCATAATTATAGCGAGCGCAGCGAGCGTCGCGAAGCGACGCTCGCGAAGCGAGCTCAATAGACTAACGTGTAAGAACAGAGGAAATTCGGATTGAAATCTGTACATACGTCAGCCAAATTTCTCTGTGCAACATTCCCAGAATTCCTGCACTACCCAATGTCCTTTGCGCGAATATTGCCGAATAAATAAATAAATAATAACGTAAAGCATATGTCAGACTTTCAGTTTGTAGAAATCTTTCAAAGAAACAAGAAATAACTTTGCAATGTTTTTCGACAAAAATTGCACTAGTTCTATAGTTTCAAACAGACGCTCGGCTGTCTCCGTAAGCTCCGACGAGCTCTGTGACGTCGTATGACGTCACAGCTAGTCGAGATGTCTCGTGCGGCTTGACGTTCGAAGTGGCTGATCTCAAGTGTTTTTGATGGTACAACTGCGCTCGCCCCAACGGTCACACCGTAAAACATAATATGTTTTACGGTGTGACCGTTGGGGCGAGCGCAGTTTATTTACTATCAAAAACCTACACATGTACTGTCTATCATTCAAGAAAAAGAAAGCAAAAAGAATAAAACAAAACTATAAAAAGAAATCATTTCCCAAGCATCGGGATCGAGATTCCAAACTTCTCGGAAGTTTCCGACAAAATCGGAAATACCCGAACCGTTGAAGTGACGAAAGTATGACGTCAGATGAAAAGTTCTGTTGACTTAGGACGCAAACGCTAGTTTTATGGAAAAGAGATTGCATTTAATCGTTCTTTTCAAGTAAGTTGTTGCTATGCACCGTAACATGTTTTCCGAGTTTCACGGAAGCAACCGACATAACTTCGTCAAAATTCAAGTTTCCGGTGACGTCATTTGTATCATTTCCGAAGGGCAAGGTGAAGGCCGGTGTTGTGGCATGGGGGTATTTTTTTGAATAAGGTAAGGCTAAATCATTTCGTTAAGATTTCGGTAAGAAACAATGTTCCTTTAATTTTTTTACTATTTTTGATTTATTCGCGCAAAGGACATTGGGTAGTGCAGGAATTCTGGGAATGTTGCACAGAGAAATTTGGCTGACGTATGTACAGATTTCAATCCGAATTTCCTCTGTTCATACACGTTAGTCTATTGAGCTCGCTTCGCGAGCGTCGCTTCGCGACGCTCGCTGCGCTCGCTATTAATATTGCAAATGAATTTATGCACTGGGAGAGATCCTCCCTTGATTGTCAAAGCCACGAAGTGCCAAAATCGGCCCTGTGATTATGAGTAAAATAAAGTTTCCCAAATTGGAAAATTTATCATAGCATGAAAAATCTTAGACCTTATATCTTAAAAAACCATTGCAATTTTTCCGCGAAAACTCATGCAGGTAGATATTATAACAAGCTAAACCCGTATCGGTCACCATTTTTTAGCAATTTCAGCTACCTGTCATCAACTTGGTCACAAAATTCACTATCCCCCCAAACCTCGATCTAAAAACAATTGAAGGAATAAAAATTAATAACAAAATGAGGACAGAAAGATAAAGATATTTTTTGGATCGAGGCCTGGGGGTTATGTGTATTGTTAACTTGCTTCTTCTGCAAAAACACGGAATTTTTCATTCCATGCATTGACTTTTTGGTATGTGTCATCGAAACACCGAATTAAATTTTAAAAAAAAATTAAGAACGACCACAGGGTCTAATTACCCATTCATAAGTCTTGTTTGTTTGAAATTAGTTAGAATAAAAAAAAATGAATTAAAAAAAAAAGATCCGTATTCATAACACATATCGTATGCTGATCATGATTCTAAATATTAAACATTAATTAAATACGTACTCGTACTCCTGAAAAATGAAGATGAAGATTATTCATCTTTACAAACCAAAACAGACTGAAGAAGTTTAGATACATACAACAGTACAAGGTAAGTAGTTTTCTTCATCGATTGAAAAAACATAAAAACGTAAACAAATACCCCCACTCAAGTTACTGGATCCACCTATAGTCTGTACCAGCACGACACCGGTGTGACTTCCCTTTGTTTCAAACATGTAGTCTAAACAACTATTTCTTTGATTGATACAAATATACTGTACACAGCCAATAATTTAAAAAGCATCTTGAGTGAATATCAAGCACCAATACTTTCCTTCTTTAGTTTGTTTTTATCTCGATACACACAAAACGTCTGTAGGGGTAAGGCCTAAGAGGCACCTCCAATGGGGGAAAAAAATCAGACAAGATGTAAAAACTGAGAATAGATAAAATATATCTTGACCTTTGCTTGTCACTGATACTAAATTTAAATATATTTATTGAATCTGAGCCTCTAATTGTTATCAGTTGGACTGTACATAGCTGACATCGTTTATGACAGTATCAAGATCGTTTACGTTTCCTTGTCAACCGACACTAGGTCAACCGGTGACTAGAGATTTCGATCTATGGATATTCCGGTTCATCAAATTTTTATCAACGAATTTAAACCCTAGCGGAATACAATTAAAGAATGCATGTGAATAAAGAATTAATAAATTCGAAATAAATAAATAATGTTTGTAAACAGAAAAATGATAAATAAATCGTTGTACAGATGTGTTCCAAAAGTGACGATAATTTTATTTTTTCTCTATATATTTCATTGAAAACAACATTTTGTAAAATCACTGGCATAACATTTCTTTACGTTATTTTATCACAAATTTCTTGATAATCCAAGAAATTGTTGTAGTTGATGAAAACAATAGTTTTTGTCTGATCAGCATTGATAATTAAAAATTTTGTAATTTAAGCCTGACATGAATTTTTAAGCCACATACTCACAATGAATTTTATAGTCAACATTGATCTTGAATTTTAAAACTGATGCTAAGTGATGAATGATGTTAAGTGATGAACTATCTATTTTTATTGCAAATTAAATATATAATGATCTTTTAAAGAAATGTAACTACACATTTTCAGTTTTGAATATTGAAATAAATGATTAAATTAGACAAAAATTGACCATTAGCCAGTGATTTTACGAAATGTTTTCATTGAAATATATAGAGAAAAAAAATAAAATTATCTTCATGCACTTTTGCCACACAACTGTATCTTAAATGGGAAAATAAATGAAGGAATAAAAAGATCAATAGGGAACTTGAAGATGAATAAATGAAAGAACATTACGCCCTAAAAAACTATCTTTAAAAAAACTCCATGTTATACTCCTGTATTATTTCACCTTTGTCATCGTTATGCATGTAATAAGAAATATTTTTGTCAAGATATGTTTATTAATGCTCTTTCAATCAATTACAAAAATAAACTAAACGATACAAAAAATAATTGTAAGAGAAATAAATTACTAATTACAAAAACCTAAATAGCTTAAATTAATAAACAATTAATCAATTTTAATGATTAAAAGAAATATATACAAACTCTTTTTATTCTAAGTTTTCTTGTCTGATTACTTTTAAAATGTTTAAGTCAAACGAAATTGAAAAGAAATAAAGTCTTAAAAAATTAACATGAACTTTTAAATAATTGAAAAAGTGAGCATTTCAATGTTACTTACATGCTTTGTTTTATTTACAGAATGGAGCTAGTTGACGACAGAAAGAGATTCCCATGTGTTTTATGTAAGAAAAGAACCAAGCCAAATGACAGAAGGAAATGCGAAAGCATTGAAATAAGAAGATTTCTGAGGAAAACTTTTATGGTGGATGCTAGACCAGTGGATGTGTTATGTAATACTAGTAAATGCAGACACTACTACTACAAAAACAAACAAGTAAAACAAAAACCTCCTGTTCATACAAAATCTGACACTGAACCTCCAGGAAACTCATCATGTCTAAGTCCACCATCTGTTACCCTGCCTCTTCAAAGGACTGTTTCTTCCCATGCCTACTGCTTTATATGCAAGCGACCTGGACCGAAGCTCATCGTTGTGCCAGTATCAGCAAGACTCTCTGCATTCATTCACAAAGAAGTGATTATTCCTTCAGGCAGCAGGTGTTGTCCCTCACACATTGCAAATGATGATTTCATCACAGGAGCACTGGATAACTTACAGACAATTGAAACATCATTTTTGAACAGAAGTACCATCGTAGACCTCATCACCAGGATAAGGAATTATGCAATTCAGAATTGTACATCCAAATTCACATTTGATCCTTCATACCTTAACAACCTGGATTACATCACTCTTACTGGAATATCTAAAGACCAGTTTGCAGATCTGCATCAGGAGATCAAATCAGAAATTAGAAATACACCCAGTAGAACATCAACAATGTCTCTAGGAATTTTTCTACTGAAAATGCGATCAGGAATGTCAAACCAGTTGATGTCAACCATATTTGGCATTTAAAAGTCATCCATACGAAGAGCAATTTCAACTGTCAGGACTGCACTGATGAAAAAGTTTGTTCCGCAAAACGTGGGATTACAACATATATCTCGCCAAGATGTGATAGCAAACCACACCAGACCACTGGCCCAGTCTCTCTTTGGAAATGTGACACAAAGTCAGGCCATCGCAGTCCTGGATGGGACTTATATATTCATCCAAAAAAGCAACAATTTCCAATTCCAAAGAAGGACATACAATATGCATAAAGGCCGACCCTTGGTGAAGCCTATGGTTGTTGTCTCAACGGATGGATATTTCCTGACAGTAGTGGGTCCCTATCTTGCTGACAGTCGAAACAACGATGCAGCCATCCTGAATCATATGTTGAAATCTAATATAGAAGACATCAAGAACTGGTTTTAGGATGAAGATATATTCATAGTTGACAGGGGATTCCGTGATGCTCTTGGAGTTTTGGAGGAGTTTGGGATTAAAGCCTACATGCCTCATCTTCTTGCTAAAGGGGAAAGACAAATGCCGACACCTGAGGCAAATGCCAGTCGTCTGGTTACAAAGGTAAGTACATGCATTGATTTGAGTTGCCAACTTAAAAAACTGCAGTGCAGCAGAAAATTTGATTTTAAAAAATCCTAATTTTAAAGCTTTTCATCTGGCCTGATGTTCAGTTACTGAGCATAGGGATTTATTGCAATATAGTCTTTGTCTTGATACCCATTTAAAATTTTTATTTACATGATTTATTTCATGCTTTTCCATTTCAACATTTATTAACAGATTCGTTGGGTTGTTGAGGCGGCCAATTCCAGGATTAAGCGCTGGAAATATCTTGCACATACCCTCCCAACAAACCAGGTGCCCTTCATAGGGGACTATGTGCGAATTGTGTGTGCTATTTCCAATAAGTATTTACCACCCCTTTCTACAGGAAATGCAGATGATGATGAAGCTCTAGCAAACAAGATGCAATACCTGTCAAAGAGAGTAAATAGTCTGAAGATATTTGTGGAAGAAAATGCACTTGACAAGAGGTCATCCAACTGGGAAGTTTCCTCCGATTCTTTGAATTTCCCCAAGCTAGATGAAGAAGAACTTAGAAATTTAACTTGTGGAGTCTACCAACTAAGGCTTTGTCCAAGTTATATTCAAGAATACATTGAAGGTGATGCAGACATCTTGGTCCATAAAGAACATCCTGGCTTAATTCGAGTGAAGTTGCAGAGTAGGCACATATCATCGAAGAAGTATATGCTCTGGATTCAATACACGGAATCAGCAGTCACTGCTTGGTATTGTAAATGCCGTGGGGGTGCACGTGTGGTAGGTGTCTGCTCCCACATTGCATCTGTTGTCTGGTATTTAGGATTTGCGAGGCACAATGTTGGGGATGTTTCAGCTACAGGTATTCAGAACTGGGGTGAATATGTCAAAGATGCTGCAGTTATTGATGCCTCTGACACTGATGACAGTGACATTGAAGAATGAAAGCTAGTTTGTAATGTACATGTATATCTACAATATGTCATTTTGATTGTTATGCCATAGGAAGGCAAACCAGAAAATGAACATGTATAACAAATGAATGTTAAAGTTTGGTTATGATTGGATTACATTGTTACTATAAATTGTACAATAAAATACATTCTTGATAAATTATGTTTACAGTTAGATAAATGTGATATAAAAATTCATCCCTGTATCTGGAAATCACCTATTTACATTAAATATCTGTGGAATAAATATTATCTTGAAAGGGATTCATAGGTTTAATAATTTTATTCGTAAGGTTTTTCTAATACATATAACTTATGCAGATTCACTTAGAAAATGTGAGAGTGAAATAGTAATAAAATACATTTAAATTTAGTTTAAACAATCATGTAAACACAATTATTCTTTTTATCATATTGTCCTTGTTTTTGGATTTTTTCTTCTAAGTAAAAAGAAAGCGCGCATCCTATGTTAATTATGAACTACATAATTCTAATAATTTTTTATAAGTCCAAAAAGATTTTTTTCTTCAATAAAAGGAGGATGTATATGTATACATGCATATATCCTTCTTATTCATAACTTTTCCCTAATAACGTTATAATATATAATGTCAACGTCATATCGTCATAGTTAATATTTAGAAAACAGTAGCAATTTTACATGGCATATTTTGCTTTTTGGAGTTTAATTTCTACATCACATGATCGACGTCATTTTTTAACGTGATTGATTTTTCACACCTTGACTACAAATCGACATTACTTGTGCATCCCTTTTCTCTCCGACTGTGACATTAAAAAACAAGTACCCTGGATGTATTTTATTTCTCTGTAGCCAGTTAAAACATTTTCTAGGTCTAAACCAGTTTTTTTCGAGGCAAAACTGTAGAGAATGTTGAAAAAGGAAACCCCTCCCCCTTTTTGACGTCATTTTAAAGGCCTTCTTTGTTTGGACACTCCATGTAAAATTTACGATAAATTTTCATAGAACTTCTAGATGAGGTAAAAATTCCATAATTTATGGAACAATAATGTTCCAACACATACCTGAATTAACGAGATTTTTGGATGTTAAATGTTCATATGAAAAGAGTTTTTCTCAGTTAAACTTAGGTCGAAAAAACGTAGTGTTTGAGGTTGCGCCGTCTGGACATACCATTGCTTACGAAAACATTATTAATTTATTACAAAA